CTTTACCCATATGCAACCATAAACAATGAAAATCCCAAATTTCACCAAAAACCTGAAAAACGAGTTTTCATCCAAAACAGACTCCTCTCCTCAATTGCCCACAACCTCTATTTATAGACATTCCGGAGCGGCCAGAACGGCCTGTACCGAAACCGGAACGGCCCATTCTGCACCCCTTCATCAAGTGAAAAAATCGCATGCAGAACGACCCGTTCTAAAATCAGAACGGCCCGTTCTGGAACTCATCCAGAACGGCCCGTTCTCCCTCTAGAACGGCCCGTTCTCCAACCAGAACGGCCCGTTCTCCCTCCAAAATGGCCCGATTTGTAGGTCATTTTATTAGCTTTGAACGGCCCGTTCCAGATTGGAAACGGCCCGTTCTGAGCTACTAAAACACCAACTTGCTACGTCACACAAATAATTATTGTTAATGGGTGAGTTTTTAAATTTTTTTATATATATGTCATTTATTTTTTTAGTTTCTCTTGAGAGATATGTTGTTGACAAAAAGATTAAAATATAATAAATAAGTATAAATGTTTAAAAAAAAGTTGAAACCATATATTATATATAGTATAATAATATATAGTATATATTTCATTTTAAAAATTAACTGATTATTTTTTTCATATTCATTATAACACTGTTTAATAACATTAAAAAATAAATTCAAATTTATGGAAACACTATTTAATAAAACTTTAAAAATATATTAATATTAACGTACATTGAATATTAATTATTTATGGAATTTAAAATATTAATAAAATTAAATAAGATTGAATTTAATTTTTGAATTCAATTAATTAATTTATAGAATATTTTGAAATCTTAATTTATAAATTAATTTGATTTCAATATTCAATAAACAATAATTTTAATCTTCAAAACTTTTAACTTACTTTATATTTATTTATGAGTGAGATCGAGACACTTCGTGTCTTTATTTATTTTTCATAAAAAATAATAACTTTGAAAATAATTGTGTATTGACTGTAGTAAGAAAAGATGAAAGTCTTGTAGTGAAATAAAAAATAAGAGATATATAAAGAGAGAGAGAAAAAAAATAATGTGTGAGTAGTGAAAAATTTTCAAATGCTTTATAAATGTAAGGCTAAATGAGCATTTTAAAAGATAAAATACTAAAATGAATCTAAAAGATCAAAAATATAATTTAACTAAAATATAATAGGCTTAAATATGTTTTTAGTCCCTATAAAATTAGCAAGTTTTGATTTTAGTTCTTATAAAAATTTTCCTTTGTTTTTCATCCTTATAAAATTAAAACTATTATTTTTAGTTCTTATTTTTATTTGATCATTTTTAACTACTTTTTATTTATTAAAAAATTAAGTAATCATCTTAAGTGTTACTTATAACCATTATTGATATCATATCAATATTTAACACCTATAAAAAATTTATATATATTTTAAATAAATAATATTTATCTATCTTAAAATTATTATTAGAGACTAAAAATAATTAGTCTAGATTTTAGAGAGATGAAAATAATTTTTATTACAGGAATCAAAATCAAAATTTACTCATTTTATAAGAGCTAAATTTTTTTTTTTTTATAAATTTTTGATGGATAAAAAACAAAAATTTTTTTTAGAAGGATCAAAATCAAAATCCTTAATTTTATAGGGGCTAAAAATATATTTAAACTAATATAATATGGAGTTACTTAATGAAAATTTTCATTTGAAAGACAAAATAGTCTCTTTAAAAATAAAGATTAAAAAAGATTGAAGAGAAAATCTTCTTTTTATATATTGTTACAAAGAAATTTCTTTTATATATTGTTATAGATAATAAATTAATTTAAATTAATCTAGGAAATAATTAATATATATAATTATAAATGCTTGTATCGTTGCAATAAATTTTCAATTATATATATATATATATATATATATATATATCATTTATTTTATTAAAGTCTTGAAAATTCATTTTGAAAAGTCACAAAAAATAGCATAAATCAATAAGTCGTGCATCGGATAAAAGTTGTTGTTGATATAGCATAGAAACTAATGTAAATTGGTTCACTGTAGATGCCATAAATTCAAACCACGAGTTCACTCTTTCAACATTTGCTGCACACACTCTATTTGAAAATTATATTCGTCATGATGCAGACAGAAGTAGTTTAACAGATGGGACATCATGAACGTCAGGAGTTTGAATGTTCTTGAAGAAGATTCGTAAGTTGAGACAGTTTATCATGATTCATGAGTAAAAACAAATTTAATTTTCAAAAGTCGTGTAGGATTAGCCAACTTTGTTTCCCACACTTCCGAAAATGGCCAAAAACCCATCATTTTCTGGAATCTGTGGGAAAATATATGAATTTGCGCCAATGACGTAAATACCCTTCTTCGGCTAACACCCTACCTTTTTTTTTTTTTTTTTTTTTTTTTTTTTTTTTTTCGAAAGTACCCCCCGCCGATAGTAATGACTAATTTCTTCGCTATGTTGGAGGTACCTCAAAGGGTGGGATAGCTGGTCCCAATATTTAAGGCGGCTACATACACAAGGCAGAATTTGAACCTCTGACCTTGCTTAAGCGTGAATCAACCCCTACCGCTGAACCACACGCTTGAGGTTATGTTTCAACTTTCTAATACACTGTTTTGATCTCACACTTACTTAAAAATAAGCTTAGAAATGCTTTTAAAACGAGTTTTTATTCGGTGTCTATAATAAATTTTTTCTTCATTTCTATAATTTAGAATCCTATTATTTTTAGTCCTTATTTTTATATAATTAGTTTTATTTATTTATTAGATTATTTTAGGGTTTGTTTTCTTATTTTTATAATAGAATAATATCAGTATATGATTCTTATATTATAATTTTTCTCTATAAATATAGAGTTCAGGAATAAAATTATGTGACGCTCGCTCTTCTATTAAAAATATATCTTTACAAAATACAAATATAAAATAACCAATCATTGATATCTAGAGTCAAGATTCTTACGACTTGTGGTGATGAAAGCCAAAACAAACTTTTCATAAATTTTTTCACCTATCTTTAATGGAGAAATCTATGATTTTTGGGTGGTGAGAACGGAGATATACCTAGAGACTTTAGATCTCTAAAAAGTCATAGAAGAGAATTATGATGTTTTCGCACTGTCGGGCTATCATACTGTGGTCCAAATGAAATTTCACAAAGGCAGGAAAATCTAGAAGTCAAAGACAAAATTTTTTTTTTGCCAATGTCCCACAAAATGTTTTCACTAAGATCATGTCCCTCAAATCTCCAAAAACAATATGGGATTAATCGAAGGAAGAATATGTTAGGGATGAAAGGATTCGAAGCATGCAAGTGTTAAATTTAATGAGAGAGTTTGAATTAAAAAGAATGAAGGAGTTCGAGACAATCAAATAATGCTTAGACAAATTACTTGACATTGCTAATAAGGTACAATTACTATGAACACAATTTCTTGATTCTAGAATTGTTGGAAAAAAAAAGAAAGAAGAATGAATTGTTCCAAGAGAAGGGCCAAAATAATATAACTCAGGCTTGAATTATTGATATTAGTTGTACAAACAATATGAATTATGACTGAAAACTCTTCAAAGAACTCAACAAAACAGATATCATCTCTATAGTCCAAATGAGAAGTGGAGGACACCTTGTTGTAAAAGGTAAATGAACAATTGCTATCAAAATCCATTCATGTTTGAAATTAATATTTGATGTTTTATATGTTCTTGATATTAATTAAAATTTGATGAGTGTTGTTCAATTATTGAAAAAAGGCTATAAAGTGTTATTTGAAGATAAAAGTTGTGTGATTAAAGATATAAACAATAAAGAAGTGTTCAATGTTCATATGAAAAGAAAGAGTTTTGCTTTTAAATTTGGAGAAGGAGAAACCAATTATAAATGAAGATATGAATAAAAAGCACAAAGATACATATTTGCAAAAGAAATTTGATGATCAGGAGGAGGAGAATGAAAAGATGATGAAAAATCATGTTCAAAAGAGAAGTTTGAGTTAAATGTTAAAGAAGTTCTACTCAAGAAAGATTGCAACAAAAATCAAAGAAAAATAAAGAAGAAAACTTTCAAAAACAAAAAAGACATATTTTAAAACTCAAATTCAAATTAGGTGATAAAAATATTGTTAGAAATACGCCTCAATATATTTAGGAGAATAAATTAGTTTTGATAGGAATCTTTTATTTTTTTTTTAATATTTTATTTAATTTATTTAGATTATTTTAGTATTTATTTTCTTATTTTTAAAATATGAAATATCAATATTTGATTCTTGTATCACAAGTTTCTGTGTAAATTCGATACTTAGACTTTTGTCCATTTCACTATTTGCAACAATTGGTACACTTGTCAAAAGTTTAACAATTATTATATTTCAAAATTTTCTTTTTTTTTCTTTTTTATTTATTTCCAGTTTACAATAAATACATAGTAGTTTTTCAATTTCCACTTTTATGATAAATATATAAATTAATTAAAATTAGATGAAAATTAAGATAATATAATAAATAAAAACGTGATTAATATTTTCTTAATTTTGAAAATGACATATTAATAGAAATATTTCTTTTCCAAAATATCTGACACTTAAAAAAAGTGAAAGAAATATTTTCTTTTATTAAAATCATCAATTTTTGTGATAAGTTAGTTTTACACTTTCTAATAAATTTTAATTTACAGTAGAAAATGTGTATCTTGCTATAAAGAGTTTTTTGTTTTTTAAAATCATATCATTGATATTAATTATTTATTTATAAAAAAAAATTCAAACTAAATTTGATTAAGAGACATAAGTAATTATCATTGATTGATATAAAGAATGATTGAATCTACTGAATCTTAAATTCTAAATTAGCATTATTTGTGTTGTAGACTGGTCATGGATTAGGTGACATGTTCTATCAAGTTGATATAGAAAAGTAGTTTGTAGCACTGAAACATGATGGACCACCACGATTTTAAAATTGAATTGCAGCTTATATATTTCAACACCACTCATCAAAATTAGATCAATCAAGAATCGGTCACTAACTGAACTTATTTAGTTACTATTTTTTGCATTGCAGCAATGGACCCTGAAATGGTAAAGAATCTAGGATCCTCTCTTCTGGTTCCTTCTGTACAGGAATTGGCAAAGCAAGGCATCACAAAAGTTCCAGAACGATATCTTCATCCAAATCAAGAACCATCTTTTGTATATGACACAGCATCTTTGCCACAAGTTCCAGTGGTGGATTTGAATAAATTGTTGTCTGAAGATGCAACTGAACTAGAGAAGCTGGATCATGCGTGCAAAGAGTGGGGTTTCTTTCAGGTTTGAACCATTGAGTGTGTGTCCATTTATTGTGTTTTTTCGGTTGTTGAAAGTAATTGTCCTGTTGTTCTTTCAAGTGTTGGCTTGTTTAAAATGAAATAAGAATTGAAAGAGTATTTCTGATAAGTAAAATGGCAGATATGGGATTACTCCCTTATAATTACCAAACAGAAAACTAATGATATATAAAAAAATTTCAGACTAAGTACTACTTTTTACTTAATAGTTAGCAGAAGTTCAATAATGTTCTACACACTACTGGTAAAACATTAATAGTTATAATTTATGATTGATATAACTTATTTATTTATTTATTGTAAAAGGAAATAAACCTATCCATGATTTGTAATTTCTCAATACTGCATAACCTAATTTCTCATGAATTAATGGGAAAATTTTTATTTTATTTTTGGATTAAAATAGAATTTTGGTCTATTATTTTAATTTACAGTTTCAGATTGATTATTTAAGTTTAGAAAGTTTCACTTTATTTGTTAAAGTAATTAAGTAAGTCTGGTAGACCAAATTAACACTTTTGTCGATTTATCACTCTAGCCTGGTCAACCTGATAACACGTGACAAATTGCATCATATGTTGGGTCATCCAAAATTAACTCTTGTATTGTAAAGAAATTAATTGACAGAACAATTTGAATTGAGTTCGAGCTTCAAGCATGCAGTTGCAGTAAATATTCAAAGTGTTTGGCACTCACATTGATTCTACACTGTATTCTTTAAAAAAACATAAAAATGACCATATATGTAACTATGGAAAGTTAAATTGCCGTTGTAATCTTGTAATCTTTTGTTCAGACCGTGTACACTAAAATTAAATCATCAGTAAAATAAAATGACTTGCGATTGCAGTTGATTCTAGCCTCAATTTTCCTTAGATATGTCATAATTCAAGAAATTGCTGCACGACAGTGGCTATTTTTCAATGAAGGAGCTTATTTTTATTTGCTTGTTGAGTTTAATAGTGGATATTAATACCAGTTGATCAATCACGGTGTGAACCCTTCACTGGTGGAATATATGAAGAAAAATGTTCAAGAGTTCTTGAATCTTCCACCGGAAAAGAAGAAGGAATTGTGGCAGAAACCAGGAGAAATGGAAGGATTTGGTCAAATGTTTGTTGTATCAGAGGAGCACAAATTAGAATGGGCAGATTTATTCTACATTTTCACCCAACCATTATATGCAAGACATCCCCATTTGTTTCCTAGTATTCCCCAACCATTCAGGTTATTATTATATTTTCATCTCTTTGTGACCACACTGATTGTTTTTGGTAGGAACATTTCCAAATTCCAAACCATGGATTAGGCAAAAACTTCAAGAGATGAGTTTTTACCTTAACTGTGGTTTCAAACTGAAAACCAAACATGTACAATGTTTTTTACCTTGCTGCCACCTCAGCTGCAGCATCATTAGTTTCTTTGGTAATATAATCAAAGTCTCTAACTAACTTTTTCGGCATTGCAGGGATAATCTAGAGAAATATTCTTTGGAGATTAAAAATCTTAGTGTCACAATCTTTGAATTTATGACAAAAGCTCTTAAGCTTCAACCCAATGAACTGGCAGAGCTTTTGGAAGAGGGAGGGCAAGCACTGAGGATGAATTATTACCCTCCATGTCCCCAGCCAGAAAAAGTGATTGGACTGAAGCCTCATTCTGATGCTGGTACCCTTACAATCCTCCTCCAAGTCAATGAAATGGAAGGCCTTCAAATAAGAAAAGATGACATGTGGATTCCTGTTAAACCCCTCTCCAATGCTTTTGTCATCAATGTTGGTGACATTTTGGAGGTAACTTAATTGAATATTATTCCTATACTATCATGCATAATAAGTATTGTTACTATCGTTATTCAATCAGAATTTAAATTTTATCTGAATAACACGAGTTGACATTTAATGAAATCATTTATTATATATATTATTAAAGTAAAACTCTAATTATGATAAAAAAAAACACTACCAACAATATTTATGCTTCTGCACCTAAATTAGAATACGCATCACTTGTGTATTTTTATATTAAGGAATTTTTGTACATTAATGGTTTAATTTGGCAGATAATGACCAATGGTATTTACCGGAGCATTGAACATAGAGCTACAGTTAACTCAGAGAAGGAGAGGATTTCCATTGCTACATTTCACAGTCCTAGATTGAATGCAGTTATAGGTCCTGCACAAAGCCTCATCACTCCTGAAAGACCAGCAGCGTTCAATAGCATTAGTGTAGAAGATTTTTACAAAGGGTATTTTTCACGTGAGCTGCAAGGGAAGTCATACATTGATGTCATGAGGATTCAAAATGGGTTATAATAAAGGGAAATTGTCTTTCATGGGGCAGAAAAATAAAATAAGAAGTTAAGAACACAACAAACAGTTGTGTGACATGACATGCATGTGGTACCTATGCAGAATAATACAATAATGTTCATCGTTCAATGATTGAAGCTGAAAATGTTACCTTGGAAGCTAATTTGGATTAATAAATTTGCATCGTGGGGTTTAATGTGTTGTTGAACTAGTTTTTATTAGTTGATATATGGGTATAGTTGTCCTCCAACTATTATCATTGTAGTGAAACTAAGTATACACGAACACGATCCACGTATATCTTGAGAAAAAAATAAGTAAAGGATTGTATCACAATGTGACTTTGATAATGAGACATATAGTGCACAATAAAAAAAGAGTTCAGATGAAAGCAGAGAAATAACGAAATCAAACCAAACACTACGTAGACCGAGCCTATATTAAACATTCCATATATCAAAATGAATGTGTTAAAAGTCTGATGAGAGAAGACATCAGCCTTTTCTATTGGCTCTAGATTCTCTGTTCTTTAAGTCTTGATTATATTTGGCTTTGATCTTGTCTCTCTTATGTGAAAAACACAGTTTAACACACAAAAAAAAAAGAGTTGAGTCACATGTTTAAGCTTTTTACTAAAACATTTTCAGTCTAAGTTAGCAAGGGGTTAGCTATAAAAATAAAATGAAACATATCATCCAAAACGTAAAGAGAGTAGGCTCATGATATATACACCTCCTTTTTTTTTATAAATACACCTCCTTTTTAAAAAAAAATTATAAAATATTATAATTTTTTAAAAAGAATTTAATTTTACACTTTCAACTTTCAATTTGCTACTTTCTTCTTTTTATTCACACACTTTTTTTTTTCTCTTTCAATTTTTACATGTTATCAAAATAGGTGAGGTGAAGGAAAAATAAGGGGGTGCATATAAAAATTGAAAAAAGGAGAAAAGATGTGTGAAAAAAAGTACTAAATTAAATATTGTGGATGTAAAATTAAAAAATTTAAACAAAAAATTAAGAATATTTTAAAATTTTAATTATTTTTTTAAAAGGAGGTGTACTTATAAAAAAAAGGAGGTGTATATATCATGAACCAAGAGAGTATTGAAGAGAAAAACACCGAAGGCCGACCCAAGAGAAACTATCATCCATCAACATGGCTCAAGGACACCCGTGCATTAGGAAATTGGGCCACGAGCCCAAAGGTTTTTTTTTCTTTTTTTTCTTCTCTGTTATCCATAGTATTAAGCCTCTATAATAAATGATTACTTGTCTTAGAAGTAAAATGTTTTCTTTTGATTCTTTATTTTTAGAAATGTGTTATACGTGGTCTTTATTTTTATAATGAGAAATGTAGTGTCACTTTTCATAACACATTTTTTTTTTATCAAGAATAAAGTGTTATGAAGTTCAAGAACTACATTCAACACTTTTTTTTTTTTTCACAAAAGAGAAAAAAAAAAGAGTCATTTTTTTTAGAGACTCATCTCTATTTGCAAAAATTAAGGACATATTTAACACCATATATTATTTATATTAACTTATGATGTATTATAATAATACTTGATGTATATATTGCACTGAAAAAAAATTCTCATGTAATAATATATACTATATAGTAACACAATATTTATTACTAAAATTATTTTTATCTAAAATATATATATATATATATATATAATATGTTAATATATTATTAAAAAAGTATAGATATATGTTAGTAACACATAATATTAGTGAATCTCATTCAAAATTAACATTAAAATGGTATGTATTTATATATCAAATAGGTTTATGCCTACATATATTAGGTTTGTTTATTTTAACTTTTTTTTTCTTATAAAAAAATTATTTTCTTATTAAAGTACTTTAAAAAAATAAAATAAGCACCTTTTACTTTTTGATGTGTTTGTCTATTTTTTTTTAAATACACAGTTTTCTGTTTTTTTTTTAAGAAACAACTTGTATTTGTTTCTCAAATAATTCTTTTTTTTTTTAAAAAAAACTTGTTTAGAAACACTTATTTTAAAATTTAAACAAATGGACCCATTATATCTATGGTAACACTTTTTGTATGTTACTATATACAACAGTTTTTAGTGTTAAGTGTATAATATATCTATACAAATAAATTATTTATTAATATGCTTGATTTTGTGTCATACACTATATATATATATATATATTCATAAATTCTATACTAATAATTTAATTTCTATTAAATAAAAGTTATAATATCAAAGGGTAACTTAGTGATAACATGTTAGTATGAATATGTTTGGATAAACTTATTCAAAAACACTTCTAAAAAAAATAAGGGAAAAAAATGAAAATAAGTTTCTTCATAAACTAAAATCAACTTATATATAAGTTAAAACAAAATTTTGGAGAAGTTATTAAAAGAAGGTTTCTACAAATTGACATATACATAAACTAATTTTAATTTATGGAGAACTTATATATAAGTTAAAACAAAATTTTGGAGAAGTTATTAAAAGAAGGTTTCTACAAATTGACATATACATAAACTAATTTTAATTTATGGAGAAGTTCAATTATTTCATTTTTCTTTCCTATTTTTCTCTCTTACAAAAGTACTTTTTAGAGAAGTTATCCACACATGTCTTATATATATATAACTCCAAATTTAATTAAAATGTATTAAGAGTGTGTTTGGCCTAGCTTATTCGTAACTTAATTTTTACTTATAAGTAAAAGTCGGTTCAAACACATTTATATAAAAGTCCTTAAAAAATAAGTAGTTTAAAATACTAATCTTAATTATCACCTTATATATATATATATAATATATATATATATATATTATAAATATACAAAGGTACAAAGTACTTCTTTGACATCGATAAATATAAAAGCAATATATTCAACTAAATAGATGCAAATACTTCTAAAAATATTTTTTCTAAAAAATATTGTTAAAAAGTTGGCAAAATCGATAGAATTATAAGTAATTTAAAAAAATTTAATTAAAAAATATTAACCTATTCAAAGACAATTTGGAGATAATTTTTCCCTATCTTTTTTTTTTTGGTAAAGATAATTTTTCCCTATCTAATTCAACACTAATTATGTCAAGTAAATAGTCGATTCTATTAGACCCACATTAAATTCTAGTTTTCTTGTAGTGGTTTTTTAAATTATTTATCAATCATAATAACTAGAATTAGAGTTATAATTTATTTATGTTCTAGCCATATGATAATGTTAACTTTCACCTAGATCTATTAACCATTTGTATTAACAAAACCAACTTTTTACTAGCTTTTAATAAGTTTAATATTTTTTAATGATTTTTTTATAATTAATTGGATATTGACTATTATCATTTAATTATATCACAATTCTCAATTTTTTGTTTAACATATGGTCAAGAAGTAAGAGAAGCAAGCTAAGTGAGTGAAAGTGCATGGAAGTCAAGAGAGAGTAGGATTTGAAGAATAAGTGAAGACTTTTAGCATTGGGGGCCACTTTGCTTGGGCCTAACTATTGTACATATATGATATTAAAAAAAAAAAAATGAGATCCGAAAATATTTTTATTTTGATTACATTAAATTATTTTTAATTAATTAAGAAAACCTTATTTGAAAATGGCAATTTTTCACATTTCAAATTCAAATTTGATTCTGTCATTAATATCTTACGTTACGAATTTGGATTAATTTTCTTTTAATTACTGAATTAATTTCCTTTAATTACTGTATTTATTTTTTTTAATTACCGAATTAATTTTATTTAATTATTCAGATTTATTTTCCTTAATTATTCAGATTAATTTCCTTTAATTGTCAGATGTTTTACATGATTTTTTAGGGTTTTTGAGATTCTATAAATAGAGGCCTCTGGCACACCATTTTCTTAACCCCAAAAACACCTTTCTCTTTTCCTTCTCTCTAAGTTCTCAAATTTTCTAATTGTCAGTTCTGCTCCTCAAATTCTTGAGACGACCCTGTTGTATCCTGGGGGGCTTGCGCGTATCTCGCGGATAAATCCTTAAGGTTAGTGCTATCACACGCCTCAGGAAAATTTTACTAACGTTTGTTCGGTGTTTCAGGTTGCTCATAGTTACGTCTATAATTTTATACAACACTAACAACATTCAGATAGAAAGCACCATATTCTTTAGCACCAGATGCCACTTTACCTATGCCTGACACCACTCTACTTGCGCCCAACGTAATCTTGGCAAAGAGTCATTCGAGCTCTAGCATCAAGCGAATCACTACTAATGTCTGACACCACCTTGGTAGAGAACCTTTTGTTTTGTGTCTTGATGTTTACAGTTAGTGTCACTTAACTCGCGCTCAATGCCATTTTTATAATGTGGCAGTTTTGACTCACTTTTCCCTTCTTTGTTCGAGGGATTAAAGGAATTATTTGATTGGGCCACTATTGGGACAAGTTTGAGGGTTTTTAGGGTGCTGTTAGGGCTTGCTTAAAGACCTATAATCCTCACCTTGGCTCTCCATCTTCCACCATAGATCTTATTTTCTTTTTGTGCTCTTCATGACAATGAAGGACTAAGTCCATTTTGTTGAGATTAGATGCAACTAACTGAACTCTCATGTAATATAATATATATATATATCTATATATCTTTATATATCACTATCTTTCTATATATATATTCTATAATTTAAAGTTTAGTTGATTTTTAGTTAAATTATATACATATATC